CTTTGTAGGACCCCAAACATCCGAATGCACATAATCAAGAATGCCCTTCGTCTGATGTACAACAGTACCAAACTTCACTCTAGTTTGCTTCCCCAAGACACAATGCTCACAAAAATCAAGCTTACAAGTCGTGGCACCTTTTAGAAGACCTTGTTTCACAAGCCCTTGTAGAGCTTTCTCACCGGCATGGCCTAATCTCATATGCCACAGTCTAGTAGTATCTGAATCAGATGTGCCCATATTTTCAGAGACTACAGATGCTTCACCTGTCACAGTGCTTCCCTGCAATAAATACAAATGGCCACATCTAGGAGCTTTCATCACAACAAGTGCACCATAAGTAACTTTCAATGTCTGTCCATCTAAATGAAACCTGAAACCCTTGGATTCCAAAGTACCCAAAGAAATAAGATTTTTCTTCAAATTCGGTACATACCGAACACCTGTCAACTCTTTAACCATGCCATCATGCAACTTCAAACGAATTGTACCAATCCCTTTTGTTGTGCAAGGATTGTCATCTCCCATGAACACAACACCACCATCAAACTCTTTCAAGCTTGAAAACCAATCCTTGTGAGGAGTCATATGATGAGTACAACCCGTATCCAACACCCATTTAGTAGCACAATCAAATGATGAGGAAGTGGTTAAAGCAAAATCAGAAAAATCTGTTTCAACCTCAGCAACATTAGCTTCAGAACATTCTTTGCCTTTGGTCTTCAATTTAGGACAATCTTTCTTCCAATGGCCCTTATTACGACAAAAGGCACATTCATCCCTTTCCAAAGGTTTTCTACCTTTAGAGTTTCCTCTAGGTCGAGACTGTGATTTTTTTCTACTAGAAGATGATCTTCTCTCCGATGATCTACCTCTAACAAATAAAGCTTCAGAGGTACTATCATGATTTTTATCTCTATGCCTCATTTCATAATTCATCAAGGCATTTGACACATCTTCAAATTTCACAATTTCTTTACCATGCATAATAGTGGTAACAAAATGCTCATAAGAGTCCGGCAAGGAATTCAACAATATTAAGGCCTTATCTTCATCCTTAATATCCTCATCTAAATTTAACAAGTCGGCAATCAACTTATTAAAAGCATCAAGGTGTCTAATCATTTTTGTACCTTCTTTGTATTGGAAGCGGTAGAGCTTTTTCTTCAAGTGTAGCCGGTTCTCTGCACTCTTTGTCATATATTTGTCTTCCAATTTTTTCCACAACACACTTGCTAATGTCTCCCGCATCACAAAATACTTCTGAGTTTTTACAAGGCACAACCGAATTGAAGAGCAAGCCCACAAATTTAATTTTTCCCATTCCGACTTCGACATAGCTTCCCGCTTCTCTCCCAAAGCGGCAAGTAGATCTTGTTGAGCCAACACATCTTTGACCTCACATTGCCACATCCTGAAGTTGTTTGTGCCATCAAACTTTTCCACTTCGAACTTTGCATTTTGCACCGTAGTTCTTGCAAACCCGGAGCTGTTTCCAAAAGGATTCTCATCTTGCCCGTCTGATATCTTTGGCAACTAGATAGTACCCAAGAGCAACCAGTGTTCTGATACCAATTGTTGTGCTAGGAAAGCACCAAACCTTATGGAACCAACTCAAGCTAACCCACAGGAAATTTATCAAATGAAAATGCAAGAACAAAATATTAAAGAACACCAAGATTTTAACGAGGTTCCTCAACAGTCAGTGTAACTGGAGTACGTCCTCGGAGCAGTAGGAGCTCACCCAATAATCCACTATCAACCAAATGGGAGTTTACAAAGTGTTGGCAATCTCACAACCCAAATAACCCAATACACCCAATAGCTCTCACACACCACAGAAACAAATAGAGAAAGAAATATAATGTATAATTTCTTCTCTATACATATAGCTTAAAGCTATTACAACAACAATTATGATGGATGATTGCTAACCAAAAAGAAGAGCACTTTCTTCTTCTCTTCAACGAAGGGTTGCTGCACCCTTTATATTTTTCTGATGCTCTGCAGCTTGCACTCCTTTTCTCTGCAGCTCTCTCCTTTTTCTTCTCTAAAACAAAATGAGCTTTTATTTCTCACCCTTTCTTCTACCCGTGACTTCTCACATGGACCAAAGAAAAACTTTAGACAAAGTGTGCTTTTCTTTTCCCCAAAACAAGGAAGAAACATCATCATGTTGTCTTTTTCTTTTGAATTGTTTATAGCCAAAAGTTGGCCACTTGGCCACATACTCCAACACTTAACGCTCCACCTGCAGATAAAAAATATCCTCGTCACTTGGGTCGAAAGGTAGCATCTGAACAACTTGTGAAACCATCCGGATACATTTCTTGGTCTAGGTAGTAAACCTCGTGTTTACTCGAACACAATTTTCCAGCTCCCTCAACCTTAGAATTATGATCTTATTCTTTCAAATCCCAAACGAAGTTCTGGTATCTCTGTGAAAGTCACTCATCCGCACAACCTCTCCAGACACACTTGGTCACTCCACTACAAAGGTCTCGCCTTCAGGGTAATCAAATACAATAAAACAACATTCATGATCATTGAATGGATCTAACCCATGATCCAGAAAATAGCCATCACGGTGACCCGACTAATACAACACTCCATTGTATGCAAAGCTCATATTATCGAGACTATCATATAAAAATTCCTTGTGGGGATGATACAGCTAACTCTCTCCATTTGCCAGTCTCTGAAGAGAAAATCTCCATGTTGAAATCGTACAAATGTCCATCAGGATCAAAGTTAAATACATCATTAGGAGGAAGAATTCCCACAACCCTGCACTATACTTATTAAGTTGCATAAAATGCCCATTCTGATTGTTTTCCTTATAGTAAGGTCGCCTCTCGCAGATGATTCCCACTAGCACGATGTTAAAGCATTGAGTAGGGGGTGGAGAAAGAGCAATGCATTCCATGGTGTCCGGATTGCATATGAAGTAATCATTGTGATAATACCAGCCATTGGCGCACAAAATCAAGTCATCATACGTGCCTACCACAACTGGCTCGTTTTTTAACCCATGGAAACTCTGGAGTCTTTACAACATAAGAGTTAACACTTCAGATAACAGGGACTGAACTCTGTTAAGAAATTCCTCCCCATTGCGGTCTATCAATGGGCACACAACCAGCATTTTCTTTTCAATTCAGAGACGCAAAGGGCTGTCAATAAATCAGGGGCTGTCAATAAATTAGGTGTGGAGATGCAGGGCCGCCTCTGACATTTTGGGGGCCCTGTGCGAATTTAATAAAAAGGCCCTCCTTATTTAAAAAAAAAATGTTGTTGGACAATATATCCATACAAAGCTCAACGATCAATATCCAAACTTACTTAAAATCAGCATCACTCTTACTAATTGAATAATCTCCAAAATAAAATCATGATTTTGGGTTCATCTATAAAAAAAATGGAGCACAACTAAAATAGAGATATGAAAATACGTTTGTATTTGTGGAAGAAAGTAATACACAAGTTAGTTTTTTTACTGCTTAATAGAAAAGTGGAAGAAAGTAGTACACAAGTTTATTGTTAAAAAAAGAAGAAAATTAATATGTTGAGTTCAAGCTCCGCTTAACCATTTGTAATGATGATGATTTTTCTTTTCAGCTTAAAACTTTTTTTATTAGAAATTTATACTCATGTGTAATATAATGGAGGATCAAAAAATTTGGGGCCCCTAAAAAATTTGGGGCCTTGTTCCACCGCACCTTTTGCACACCCCAACGCCCCATTTGTGGAGATGAGAGTGAACCAACGCTTACACACAAACTTGTTTTCAATTAGGATTTTAAAGGATTTTTATAGAGTCCATGCAAATCTATAGGTATTAAAAAATCCATAGATTTTGAAAGATTACCGTCAATAAGAGATTTTGTAGGATTTGAGAAGGAATGGTAAGCATAACAAAATCCTACGTCCACCCCTAGGATTTCTTTTCAACCCCTCACTTTCTTTCTCTCTCTCCCTACACTGCAACTCCAACTTTCTTTCTCAATCTCTATTTTTTCCGAGAAACCCATCCTTCCTTCCTTCTGGCATCTCAGCCACCCACCACATCCTCTCAATATACAATCAATATGCGATTGTATACAATCGTATACAAAGATTGCAAAGTTGATCATACCTTTGGAGATAGGAATTGGCGAAGGCGAGAGAGAGGGTGTGGATAATTGAAGGGTTTGAGTTGCATTTGCTGATGGGCTTTCATTTTTCCTACCTTTCCAGCACCCATTCTTCTTTCTCGCATTTGCTGATGGACTTCTTCATTTTTCCTACCTTTGCAGCATCCATTCCTCTCACTCTCTCTCGAATAAGAGGAATCACTTTTTAGAAAAATTCAAAAGCCGAAAGCACTTTCATGAATGAATGATTATGGTGGAAGGTTTCTGTCGTGGAGGACCATGGACATGAAGGATAGGAGTTACCTTAGAGAACTGGGCACAGTTCTTCATTCACTTTCAAGTTTATTCTTATTTTTATTTAAAAATAAATTTTAAAATGGCAAGAGAGTCTCTCAAAATCCATTTAAATCTTTAATCAAAGTCCATAAGAATCCTTTCAAACCTTTAATCAAAATCTATAAGAATCCTTAGAAATCCATTTGAAAGTTGTAAGGATTCTACATTCCTTTGAAATCTATTACTTAAAAAAATCTTTTAAAATCGTATGAAATCCAAATTGACTACATCCCCTTAGTATTTTAGGTTTTCTTTAATGTTTGGTTTTCTAAGCTTAACCAGTTAGCATTAGGGTTTTGGTTTCTTATCTTTTAGGGTTAAGGTTAGCTTATTTTAAATAGTGTGCTTGTTATTCAATCGAGAATAGTTAGTCACGATGTAACTTTTTGATGTTTTGTAGCTGTCCTGTTTCCACATTCTTATTTGTTTAATAATATTTTTATTTCTTTGTAGCCTTGTTTTTTTATTCTTTTAGATCTAATCTGCTTATGTTTGTTCGTATCAATTTGCCTATGTTTTTGTCCAGTTTCGTTCCGTGAAACTTTTTTTGTTTTCTGGTTGAGTTACCCTTTCGTTGTTCTTACAAAAAAAACAAAAGAAAAAAAAAGAAAAAGAATCTGTTAAAGTCTGAAGCCGGAGTCGCGTCGAGCCACCAGCCGCTATGTTTGTTCTTGTTCCCTCCGCAACGACGAATCCACCACCATCTCACGCCTGTCTTAAACGTCCTGACGAACCTAGTTCCGTCCCATCTAGCACCACCATCTGTACGCCATTGTCAAACCGCTTGTATCCCTCCCGCATACCTGTAACGCCAGCACTGAAGGAACCTGCAACCAGATCCCAGCTCGCGCTACTGTTGCCTGATCCATCACGTCCTTTTATAAAAATTTACCCGTTGATGTACCAGACCACCACCTACGTACTGCCTTCGACCCGCACTAGACTGCTGCCTGCAACCCCAACCCGACCCGCCGATCTGACCGATCCACCACACCACTGCTACACCTATGTCTCGCACCGCTGTTGTACCTGCTGCCATACCTGACTCCAGATGCTTCGTTCCCTGACCTGTAAGAAAATGAATATGAGATAAGATGATTGGGCATTAGTTGTTTGAGTCCAATAAGAATAAGAAAACCTTATAGAAGATGGAATTCAGTTCTTAGCAGTAGAGGATTCTATTGCAGAGATAAACTGATTTGAATTAGGAAGACTTAAGTAGTTTTCTATAAGGATTTTAATAGGGAATCCATATTCTAATGTGAGAAGGATATGTGTGTACATATATATATATATGGCAATCTCTTCTCTCACAGGTGCGCGCTCTTGTTGGAACTGAGTCCTATTCTTGGTTAGAGCAATAGTATCCTGACAGAGAGCCTGACAGAGAGAAGAAGAGTTGTTGCGTTCAGATTAGCAGTGAACACTCATGGCTGCATTCAATGGAAATTCTTCAGGTCAGTATGTTTTACTTTTATATGGATTAGTGTTCTGTGTTTTGATCTTGGTTGTGATTTATAAAACTGAATCTGATCGGTGTAATAAGTTTAACATGTGGTATCAGAGCCTTGGGTTCATGTTCTTAAATTCAATCAATAAAATTGAACAGAATTCAAAAAAAAAAAAAAAACATCATTCTTCAGGTTTCGAAATTGGCTTCAGACCTAAAACTGAGCATAGGAAAAACGGTGCGTTTTAATAAAATATGATTGTTTGATTTTCTTGAGTTAGAATTCGAAACCTATCTAGTTTGGGGTTTTAATGAATCGGAATTACGACTCCTCGTTCTTCCTCTTCCTTTCTGGATTTCAATTTTAATAATCTGGGTGTTTCATGATGGTTCAAACCTGATCTCGAGTACTATAATATCTGTGATTAATGCTTCCGCTGCTGGATATTGATGCTTGTTCTCCGGAGTAAGTTCTTCGAAACTAAAATTAAAATTGGAAGTCAAGTTCAGTTGTTTTCCGATTCTACTGGTATTACATTTGAACAACATATGATGATTTTTTCTTGTTATTGTTGATTATATGATCATCTATGGAAGAAAGCCATTTAGGGCTTCAGTCTTCTTCAGAATTTCTGATTTAATGCAGAACAAAACCAATGCACTGAGTTGTGTATACGGCAAATTCTATTTTAATGGAATGATTGTCCGAGGCTACATAATTTTCAGTCCTAAGCATTCAGAAGGGAATCTTTTATTCTATATATACTTATCAGCTTTTGTTGTTATGATGTGCTGCTACTCATCTGCCGCTATGCCAACCAAGCCCGCCTGACAAGATTTGCTGAACCCACCAATCCGTATTGCACCTGCATCAGACCCGCGCCACTCACAGCTGCCCGCATCAGGTCACCACCGCGTTAGGCCGCATTCGTTTTGTCTGCCCCACTGTTGCTGCCTGACCACCCCACTGACAACCACAATTGCAATCTAATGAACCCGCGATTTCACTCGCGATCTGACGATCGATTGATGCATTCATGCAATTGTTTGCCCTAAAGTAATCTATCAACCTTTAAATGTTTCCTCAATAGTATTTATGCGTAGCTGACAGCCACCATAAGTAAAACATTTTTAGGATCTGAGGCAGTCGGTGTGATATTGATCAAAGGCGGTATTCATGGTAAATGAAAGAAATTGAGGGTTCATCTCTTGTTATCTTAATCATCGATTTATTCGACACATGTGGATGATTAAATTGTCTTCAAATCGAATAATTTTTTTAGAGATAACCTTTAGTGATAATAATTGTTGTGCCTTGGCCCGTTCATTAGTGCGGAAACGAGATTCAGATTACAACCTCACCAAATCACACTCAGTTCAACAGAATAAAATACACGAAATAAAGACACCGAGAAATTTACGAGGTTCGGCAAAAACCTGCCTACGTCCCCGGAGAGATATTGCTCTTCACTATGAGAATAACAGTACAAGTACACATGAGTTAAATCAACATAACCCAATCCCGAATCCCTTGCACACCCACTCATAGAATTTTCCCAAGAGCCTCACTCTACCCCAAGAGTTCTTTCACTAAAATACTTTTCACTCTAGCTCTCTTGATTTTCTCTCAACCCATGTTCAACCTTTTCCATGGGAGAGCCGAATGCTCTCTCCACCTTGGATGTTTTTCTGATGTCTTTCTCAGGAGAGAGCCGAATGCTCTCCCTCTCTCTAATGCTTACCCTCTCACTCAGCAAGCCTTTTTATCCTTCGGCAAATCCTTCCACTTATAACAGCAAAAGAAAACCACCTTTGAAAAGGCCACAAATCAAGGGCTAGACATGATGATGTCTCCCTTTTTCTTTGTCCCTTTCTTTAGCCAAAAGTAGATGTCTCCCTTTTCCTTTGTCCCTTTCTTTAGCCGAAAGTAGCTAGCACTCCACATGGTTGAGATGAAATTGTTGCTAACTCATAATTATATGAGCCAATCACAACAATCTCCACCTTGGCGAATACACCATGCAAAAATCCTTGCACCCATCACCAAAGCCCATTGGCCTTACGTACCAGCATACAGACCCTGAATCAACCTCGTTGGTCCTGTTCCGATTCAGTCACTGCCAATGCATGTGCAGTTGCTGCAAGCTAAAAATCAAAATTTAGCTTCAGACAGGATCTCGACACATCCTCGTCTCCTCCAGCAGGTTTTCCTCCTCTTCATTGTCTGCAACCTGGAAACTCGTCAGTGCGCCCGTTTCCAGCAACAACCCATCGAGCCAGACAAAATTCCCATACTTACTCCTACCTCAGGACCATCTCATCACCTGTGAATCCCATAGCTCCACCTGCTGCAAAACCCCTGCAACACTTGAGACTAAACATCACCAGGAGAAGTGTTGTTTCGAGTACCTAGAGGGCATACTCGAAGCCTTATTCCACAAACTTGCTACAACCCAGCCTTGCACCTGTAGCACTATGGACCCTTGCCTCCAGAACCGGATCTGAACCTGCTATCTCTCATATCCTTTTTCCAATTTTCTTCCACGATTCCAACCTTGAACAGCTAAAGCAGTCTTGTGCCCACCATCATCCATGGTCTCCTTTGTGTATCATTCCATACCAAAGAAGCTTGCACCTGCTCCAAACTTACTGTATCTTTCCATGCAATAAAGTTTCACAAGGTTCTCGTACGAATCTGAAAGTGAGGTAAGAAGAAAGAGGCCTTTGTCTTCTTCCTCAACATTAACTTTCGTAGTTGATCTAAGCATCCCTGAACACGGCTTCCATTACTCTCCATTACCAAGAGTAAAATCGCCTTTCCCTTTAAACTGCTCAACTGAAAATTCCATGGTAAACAACAAATCTGGACCTCCAACGAACCAAGCCTCCAACGATGCTCTGATACCAATTGTTGTGCCTTGGCCCGTTCATTAGTGCGGAAACGAGATTCAGATTACAACCTCACCAAATCACACTCAGTTGAACAGAATAAAATACATGAAATAAAGACACCGAGAAATTTACAAGGTTCGGCAAAAACTTGCCTACATCCCCGGAGAGATATTGCTCTTCACTATGAGAATAATAATACAAGTACACATGAGTTAAATCAACATAACCCAATCCTGAATCCCTTGCACACCCACTCATAGAATTTTCCCAAGAGCCTCACTCTACCCCAAGAGTTCTTTCACTAGAATACTTTTCACTCTAGCTCTCTTGATTTTCTCTCAACCCATGTTCAACCTTTTCCATGGGAGAGCCAAATGCTCTCTCCACATTGGATGTTTTTCTGATGCCTTTCTCAGGAGAGAGCCGAATGCTCTCCCTCTCTCTAATGCTTACCCTCTCACTCAGCAAGCCTTTTTATCCTTCGACAAATCCTTCCACTTATAACAACAAAAGAAAACCACCTTTGAAAAGGCCACAAATCAAGGGCTAGACATGATGTCTCCCTTTTTCTTTGTCCCTTTCTTTAGCCAAAAGTAGATGTCTCACTTTTCCTTTGTCCCTTTCTTTAGCCGAAAGTAGCTAGCACTCCACATGGTTGAGATGAAATTGTTGCCAACTCATAATTATATGAGCCAATCACAACAATAATGAGTATAAACAATTTCAATTATACTTATTGTATAGTAAAATAATGTCACATTAGCTGGGAAGGGAGAAGCCCTCGTTTCCAGATTGGAAAGAAGTATTGTCATTTAAATCAAACTTTTATGGATGATATGGAGAACCAGATCCTTTTTGGGAATGCATTCCCTGGGGGTAGGGGGAGAATCAGGGGATGTCCCAGATGGGAGGGCAAGCAAACTCAATCCATTCCGCTCCATTGTCATCCCTATTTATACAGGTTGAGCTTTCTTAGAGGAACCGTTAATGTATATTCAATTAAGATTCATCCCAATCTTCTTTCCTTTTTTCTCAGATCATGCATGGAATCTATGCCTATATTCTAAATTCTAGATGTTAATATACGCAGCTGAAAGTGGTAAAAGCCAGTACCAAAGTCCACAGACGGGAGAGGTTCAACATACTAACAAGTATACTTCGACCCAAAAAAAAAAAAGAAATATATTAACAAGTATACACTGTGTAGTTTACGTGCACACCGGCACACGTACGTAAGTAAAACTACTTTCTTACTGGAATTGGAGGGAGCATATTGTTATTTATGCCGAAAGAGCTGCCTCTAGATCTGCTGGAAAAAGATGTAGTAGTTGATGGCTTCTTACTCTTAGAAATGGTGGCCTTCGGAAGTGTGTACGATCTGTAAGAACTCAAGCCACCGCCATAGCTCTTGCTTGCTTTTATTGCCTTTCTTTTTTTATATGGAGACTCTTTCTTTGCAAGATCTTCAATGCTCTTGGCCTTTGATAAAGATGTAAAGGATTGGCACTTGCCCTCAAAATACTTTGAAAGTCCTCTTCTGTACATATATCATAAGAAACTTAGCAAAATGCTAACAAATCTTTTGACATACGATATTCTAAACAATTGGAATATATGGTAAGACATTTAAATTTGAGTCTAAGAGAGCGATTATACTGCCCTCACCAGCTAGTCTAATTTTTTTTTTTACCGTACTTAATCAAATGTTTCATACTTTCAATGTATTGTGTGGCAAATGAAAAATGATGATGCTAATTAAATTAGATGTTTCATTTTTTTTATGGGAACTATTATTGCCACTCCAAAAATCTCGTTGTGCACTCCTCACAAATATATTTTTCATTCTTTCTACATATAGAAAGTTTGGAGTCCACAATGAGAATTTTGGAGTGCTAATAATAATTCTTTTTTTTTTATTACATAATATAACCTTTTACGGAAATTTGGAAATATATTAATAATATGTGAATGCCAAAACTATCCAACATCCAAAACCTAAAACTATGTATCGTGGTTATAAATTAATGGAAAAGAAATTAGAAATATATTTTTGATGAAATGGCCGGCTTTTCCTTTTTCTATATTCTTACTTGATGGGTAGCTGAGCCATGAGATCTGACAAGTCGAACAACGATCCATGAGAATGAAAGGAAGAAGAACATGACGACGACATTGACGATGAAGATGCATCATCTACTAAGTCCGATGAAGATGTCGATGATCTATTCGAAATCGATGTCGAGGATGTTGTGTCGTACATATCATCATGATCTCCTTCCATGATTACCCAGCTATCTTCCCTTTTTGTGTAGTTGTCATATTTTGTGAGACCCATAGATCTTGGTAAAGAAAAAGAGAAGGAGAAGAGAAGAACAAAAGAAACTTATGGATAATAATTCCAAAGAAGTTTCATGTAAATGTATTAAAGTTTGAGCTAATTAGCACATTCTTTTGGGGCATATATGTATATATACAAAGAATATATAACACATGTACATAAAGAGTTTGTGTGTCACATCCCCCGCCCGGGCCCCCACCACATCCCGGGCTCGACTCCACCGTAGCACGTTATTGTCCGTTTTGGGCCCCGACCACGCCCTTACGGTTTTGTTTTTGGGAACTCACACGAGAACTTCCCAATGGATCACCCATCATGGGAGTGCTCTTGTGCGCTACTCGCTTAACTTCCGAGTTCCGATGAACTCCGAAGCCAGTGAGCTCCCAAAAAGCTTCGTGCTAGGTAGAGATGAGAATATACATATAAGGCTTACATGATCCACTTCCCTGGGTGATGTGGGATGTTACAATCCACCCCCCTTAGGGCCCGACATCCTCGTTAGCACACTTCTGACCAGGGATTGACTATGATACCAAACTGACACACCCCGACCTGGGAAGGTCGAAGCATATTGGCCATCACCGTAAGGTGACGTAACCATAAGGGTAAGTGATGTGACAAAGTAAAGAAATTTAAAACTAATTAGAACTAGATATACTAAATAGTGAAAGAGTGCGCAATCGTGGGAAGAACCCACTACAACTATTCAGAGCGCAATAGACAGTGAGACTATAGAAGAGTAGTCAAAGTAACTAAAGTACACTTATTACATAATTGTAGTGGATTCTTCTCACGATTGCGCACTCTTTCACTATTTAGTATATCTAGTTCTAATTAGTTTTAAATTTATTCACTTTTTCACATCACTTACCCTTATGGTACGTCACCTTACGGTGATGGTCAACATGCTTCGACCTTCCCAGGTCGAGGTGTGTCATTGTGGATTAGATTGCTTGGTTCCTATAAAAGTGCATACCTATCACAGGCGATTACATGGAAATTCTATGATTTTTGGGCAAGCAAGCCAACACATACACTGGTTTTTAATCTAAAAAGTTAAAAAGGATAATGCTTTAGATTTTTTTTGGAATAACGTAATTTCATTGTATAATTTTATAATTAGAATCGTTCAATTTCTTAATTTTCATTTGAAAATCATCTTTACAAAAAAAAAATTAACCGAATATGATATTGTTTATGCATCCAGTCCAAATGTATAGAATAAATCAACAGTGTGATACCAAGTAACATATTCATGACCGCCCATTTATTTGAAATATTTGAATGACTAAATCTTTGATTTAAATTTTGTGAATAATCGTCATATGAAGATTAAGAAATTGAACTATTCTAATTATAAAATTTATGCGGCGGAAATACAATATTTGCAATGAGTGAGACATGAATGCAAGTATATTAAAAAATAAATCAAATATGCAATTGACAATTTTTCTTAACTTAAAATTATGGTAAATGTGGACCTGTAGCTAATCTATATAACATGTAAGAATCCATGTACTCCACTGTCTCCCAATTCTTTTCTTAAAAAAAAATAATAATAAAATTAAGAAAACATGCTCATTGCCCTGGTTGTTTCCTTTTCATACATTGCCTTACCCTAAGATTCTTCATTATCTTCTCACTCATGGTTTGAAATAATTGACTTATGTTATGGTACGAACAAAAGAGGATAAGCTCTATATCCTTTTAGCCACTCAAGCAACCACCCACGTACCTACCCGAGTCACCTTTAATTGGACCATATTGTCTAATTTTCAATGGTTCTGATTAACTCGTTCTAAGAGTGGGGTTGTTCTAGATGTACCAACATTAGGACACATTGTTTGGATAGGTATGGACTTATTCCAACATATGCCCTTAACCTACTTCCTTATCAACATTCATACGAGTTACTTAATCAGATTTTATTGTTCTTGATTACTTAGACACCCCAATATATAGTTAATAACTATTAGAGTTTTCCCATAAAAAGGCTTCGACGATTATTTATTAATTTGTTTTTTCTTTTTTAGGTTAATTTTTACAATTCACTTACGTTATAGCACGTAATAAAATATACTGCTATACCCTAGAGTATAACTCGCCTCTTTGTTTTCCCTTGGAAAGTATTGTCGGGGTGTGATTATTTACATCTTTCTTCAATCGAGGGTGAGAAGAGTATTGAGAGTTTGAAGATGATTTGGCATGTAAGGTTATCTCACATTAGATATATGGGTGAACCAACAAAACACATACAACCTTGAAGGGCATAAATAGTTATTTCATATTTGTGCATACAAGTCATATAATATTAAAATTTTAAAGTGAAAATGTTTAATAAATTGTGGGGTGTCTGTAATCATCCTAAATATTAATGTAGAATATATAGGGATTAGGATAGGAGAGCGCTAATTTTTTACACACATTTTAACACCTATTTTGTAAGGCTCACTTTGTAACATTCTTCAAGGATCCAAACCACTTATAATTCAATAATTTAACCATTTATTTTTAAAGTTTTATCTCAAAGATCATCTTTACCAAAAAGTCATCAACACAAGAAACAATATAAATGTTCGATTAAATGGTAGTCATTTTAGTGTTTCTTTGAAGTACTATATTCGTCTATATTCGTCTATTTTCTTCACTTTAGTTGAACGCTTTTGCATTTTTGAATTTGTCTAACTTTCTATAACAATGATATATAAATACATGAATTATAATATAAACTATTCGGATCACTAAACAAAAGTGTCACCTCTTGTGTCTCATCACATGAGAAATCAAGGTCCTTGTAAAATTTGAGCTCCATATTTATCTTGATAAGGTCAATCGATATAAAAGAATTATAGATAGGACTTGACGGGCAAAGGAACCTTCTCACATCAACTCAGAATTAGTCCTTCCGTACAGCCGTGGCCTACCAACCATTATCTCCCTCCCCTTTATCCATCCATATTTATTTTTCCACCTTCAACCCAACCCACCCATCAATATGGTACGTTTACGGTCGCACGGAGTTAAGGGTTTCTACTAATTTATATTATTTTGTGTCTATCTTCAACATATTTTAAGAGCGTGGGAGAAGTAGTCAGTTTCAAGGACGAAGTCAGAATATATATATATTTTTTTTTTCATGAACTAGCTTGTATTTGTTCTATTTCGTTATTTGCTACTTACCCATGGTGAATATGGTGGTGTACATTTTGAGATTATGGCACTAAATTCGGCAACGCAACGTAATGCATGACATGAATCAAAGACACGAGTCAACTACCGTATAATTCATTTCAGCATTTTGTCGAGTACTTGGAGCATATTGCTCAATTCTTTCGACAGATGGGCACAGGGCCTGCCAAGAGGAGATGAGTTGGGCATTGACAAGTTATTCTACAATCTCCACCGAGGCTCGTTTTTGATAAACTAGCCCCAATACTTGGTTGCGGTTCAGAGTCTATTATACACTAAGACTTTCTGACATCGCAGATATAATACAAGAACATTTCTCCTTTGGCATAGAAAATATAATTTTTACCACATCTTAATAAGGTGAAATCCAAGGATACTCAGAAATCAGGAGCAAATAAAAAGCAAAGTGAATAAATACACAAATTAAGAAAACACGAAAATCGGAGAAATAAACAAATCCTATAACACCAAAGGACAATCATTTCGCCTGCCACTACTATAATATTATCTTTAGGTGGCGAATGATGGTAGCGAATATTAGAAAAATCATGTCGGATAAATTATATCCGACACATCATTTAATTAGTGTTGGATATTAGAAAAATTATGTCAGTTATATCCGACATAAATTTATGGCAGATATCAAAAAAATCTTGTCAGTTATAACCAACAGAAGTTTTGAATCTTTTTTTTTTTAAATATTTTTGACAAATTCTGGCGGTTTTTAAGTTAATGGTGGCGGTTATAACCGACAGAAATTGACTATTTTATTACTTTACTTTCTGGCGGTTATTATTTTAGTATTCTGACGATTATAATCGACAAAAATGAAAATTTTATTATTTTAAAATGTTATATTGATAAAAAATAAATAAATAAACACATATTTTTAAATATTTTTTTTCACTCATGACCCTAAAGTCTAATGAACCCAATTCCCACGAGCCATAAATTTTCTGAGAGAATAATAACAACAGACTACAATCTAAAGCTCTATCATTTTTGTAATAAGGATTATGCTCCCTCACAGGCATGCAACAAGATACAAAGAAATTCAAACAATTTTTTTCAATGCGTCACAAAGCACATTGTCTGGCACATAAACACACATGAACATTTGGACTACTCTATCATGTCTGATTTTATTATTTTAAAATGTTACAATGATTAAAAATAAATAAATAAACACATGTTTTAAATATTTTTTTTTTCACTCATGGCTCTGTCGGATATAACCGACACAAACAGAGCAAAATTTTGGACGACCACTTGAATAATCTCTGAATGTTTTTTTTTTCTGCGATTTTTTACACATGCTATCTCGGAGGATATACAAATATATTTGACAGTTGGATCGTTGAAACTAGTTTCGTAGAATACATATCCTATCAAATTGATAGATTTAACAAACACTTAAGAGTTAATGTTATATGTCACAGCCCGTCTCAAAATATATTCTCTGATGGTGTGAAATGTCTAAATTACCCTTGGATGTCGAGTACGTTGTGTAGTGGTGTGGTTTGAGCTTAATATTTTGACCTATTATTTCCTTTCCTAAAAATTTGGAACTTAAGTTTGATTTGTTTTTAGTTTGGTTGGCCAAACCCGGACCCCACACACACACCAACCAATCCCGTCTCTCTCTCTCCCTCTCTCGGTTTTCTTCCATTTTTCGTACAATACGTACGGTCAACCTTCGAACCTAGCTCACTAATCACGGATCGAGGTTTTGGAAGCCATCTTCGTGTTCCTTGTGAACTCAGGAACACATCCATACCATTTTTAGAACGTGAATCCTTCGAAAACCCGAGAACCCAAAAATCCCAGATTTGAGCACTGTTCATGCAGTCGTGATCATGGAAGTTTCAGTGAATTTTAAGGTTCTACTTTAGGACGTCTTCAAGAAGCTCGGGGAAGAAAGTTGGAGTGTTTTGGACGTCGGGAAATCCCAGTTCACAAGTTTCAAGTTTTGGCCAGATTATCGATGTTTCTCCGACGAGATTCGGTGGATTTTAGGGCTTAAAATTGGTAAGGTTTTGTTCTACTCGTTGTAAGCTTCATTTTGAGACAAATTTCATGAATTTTGGTTAAGAAATGTAGAAGATATGAAGGTTTCAATAATTTCTAGAAACTGGCGATCGCAGCGGCACCGACGATGGTCTCCGACAAACCAAGGAAGACGAAGGGGAACATTCCGTCAAGTTTGATGGAATATTCTAACGGCGTTAGGTAACACTGTTAATTTCTGTTAAGGTTTTAACAGAATATTCCAAACGACAATCAAGTTTCAGTTAGGGTTTAGCTGCGCGTGGGCGGTCGGAAATTTTTTTTAAAAATATGGGGATGTTCATGGTGTTGGTTATATCACGTTGGTATATTCAAACACCCCATTTGAGCATTGTATGAGAAGTTATTTCCTAGTTTTGTGTATGTGCTTTAAATAATGTTTATTTAGTTATTTCATATATAGGTGAGACCTATCCGAAGGACGAGCACCATCAATCGAGGCTCGAGGGCTACGACCCTTCGACATACCAGTGAGTGGGCTTTTGGTTTTTCCGTATATACCTATATACTTGAGATTTTTCCCAGAAAATGAATTTGAATGATTATACGTTTTGAAATGCCATGCAAAGTATCTGCCTATTTTATTTATGCATTAGTAGTTGCATATATTTATGATTGGTGTTGCGGACGCACAAGTAACAAAACGTCTTTCCAATTGCATAACTCAAGGCTTCTATGGTTTTAACATTTTACAACTTCACCAAAACCATCCTCAAACATGAGCTATGTGAGTTAGTGTAGCAAACTGTCATTCACGTAGATAACAGCCTATTAAGCGAAAACAGTCAAAACAGAACAGAGACCAGTAGGGAACCGAAGCTTACTTCAATGTAGTACCCCATACAAGTAGATTATGATAGTTCAGTCACATTCCCTACCCTAGTACATTCAATTCCTAAAACTATTGAGCTCATCCTCATTGTCTTGACTATTATGGTAAATGAATTCATCGGTTACATAATTAAAGATGCAGTTGAGATAACGATATAGTAAGGGACTGTTTGATAACCATTCACTTACTTCGGTTTTCACTTTTTGTGCTTCAGATATGAGAAAAGTAAATCCGTGGGGGTGGGGGGGGAGATGAGGGATGAAGAATGGTGATGGGAGAGAGGGGAAAGAATAACAAAGAACGCAAACAAAATCTTAAAAGTGAAAGCAACTAAAAATAGTTTATGGTTTTTAGTTGACATTTCTTATGCATCTCTCCTACCATTCATAATCCACTCTTCTTCATCCCAATTTCTCTCATGTATTTCCCCTCTTTCACTAACACTAAAAATGAAAACCAAAAATTTAAAATCGAAATGGTTATTAAATGAGTGGGCCCTAAACTTTTGCGCATGCAATACAAAATTTTATGACATCATAAGTGACATGCGCATGAAGGACTAACCTTTCCACTAAACACAAATTCAGTTGTTAATGTCTAATGAGGAAGCAAAAGACTTCATAAATGTTTTAAATGCTGCCCATGATTGATGATCCAATAGATTTGTATATCGCAATGCCTACTTGTTCAAGGGGGTTTTCCTTTTGAGATTTTGATATCAAGGCATGAGTTAGAAAACACTTAAATTAGGATAGAATTCTATAATTCAGCCATTGTGCACCTCAAACATTCATACACAATTTAACAACTAAGATACAAATCCTCAACTTAAGTTCTAATTACTGGACACCACACATGCACACACAAACGCACACATAATATATGTACAGTGCCGGTGCACAAAGTTACACTTGCAAATTGAATTGTACAACGGTCTCATGGATGGGACTACTTTTAGAGAAAAAGAATAAGTACCTTTGGTCTTTTTGCAGTTGCTCAATATAGCATCCAAGTCCATGTGCATTCTTAAACTATCCGAAGAAACATTCTTTATCAAGTGTATTATTGCTGAGGCATTGTTCATGAACGCAAACAAGTAGATTAAAACCAACGGCTATAGTTGTTTCCTACAAGTAAATAACTAATGGGGCATTTCAAAAGATAAAAAGAAAAAACAAAGTCTGGATGGATTTCAAAGTTTAAGAACCAAATGACTAAAAGAAAAAAAAAATGTCAGAGACAAATGTATGAATGAAGATGTTAAAGAAGGAATATCTGATCCGATTAGGCAGCAACTTTACAGTAAAGGCAAGAACTAAAGTAATACCAGCAATGAAACATCATGCACTACTGGTCTATTAATGTCTCTTCCAACGTAGAAACCTGCACTCCGTGTCAATACACAATGGAAGACGGCTCTGAATGGATAACCTTGAAACATCAACGAAAAGTTCCATATTTTGTTTAGCATGACGCATCATATATGTTAAGATACTTATAATTCTTATAACTATGGTAAAATTTCTATTTATCAGCTAAGCTCCATATATTAGGGTAACTTAATAGCTTCTCGGCTCACAGTCAACCTTCAGGTTAGGTAGTCAGAAGCCAAAAGAAAAGGAGCATTTGAAGATAAATTGTGTACTATGAATGAAATAAAATTCTGCCTCTTTGTAGGGTAGGTAGTGTGATTTAAAAATTGTGGCTCAGGAACCTTTTAAATTAAGAAGGTGCACCTTGGATTTTGAAAATCTGATGAACCAGCAATTCTTATAACTTCACTGTGTTTTTCGTACAGCCCCTCCAGGCATCCTCTTACACATTTTTCACCCTTTGGTTTATTACTGTATCCATTAATTTTCCCATAGGCTTTGGTTCCATATGCAATTCCTGGCAACCCAAATACTTTTTAAGGAGGAAAACAAAAGCAAAACTCTAACTGACCAAGATGGCTACTCAAAACAAAATCTGCCGGGGTAAAAATTACTACAGCCATGTTCAATTAAGCACCGAGGAACTTGGCCTACCAAAACTGAGTACGGAGATATAGCAAAGATGAGACACAATCATGTGAAACATTAATGATAAAAACTGAGTAAGTAATCAATTGCAAAATAACATAAGAGATGGTAAATTCATAAACCCGCACCTTTAATCTTGGAATCGAATGTTGGTCTAGTGCATTAACTAGTGCAGGTACAATCCTCAAATGATGAAGAATCTGCATTGCCTCAATCAGGATTATAGGCAGTTGCATAAAATTAAAAGCTGCACATCAAACTCGAGAATGGGGATCTTGGAATGATTTCAAAATAATGATCGTAACTTGTTCCAAATAATTTTTCATCAGCACCTGCACTAAAGGAATGGGTTGAGACATATCGATGGTATAAGGATCGCATATAATGAGGAAATAACAGGTACTGGATGCCTGAATTACTATCCACGTGCTAAGTTTACTAACACAATCTCGTATCTAGCTTTATCATAACAAATCTTAACCCCTCCCCCCCTCCCCCCCCCCAGTCTCAGGATAAATGTGCAAAACAGAAAATGTATATGGTGTATACTTTTCCATCATCTTTTATTGATACTGATTACCGACACATAACGTTATTTGACTGAACCATATAAAAAAAACAAGTTATGATTTTTGTGACTGGTTGGTAACTCAGGTAAAACTCCGCCTATGTAAGTTTATCTTACATTGCCGGTCCCAAGCCCGGGTAAAGGAGGAGGGGGAGGGCGTCAGGTAGTCGACAGCCGGCACTCCACAGTTACGTCGAATCCTTATGAAAATGAATTCAAAACGAAATCGCGCTAAAACTAGGGCGTCACCCGTAAGTGGCGCACTGTGTGGCCCGAGCACAGTGATAAGTGAGCAAGGGTCGCTGTATCTCCATAGGCACCCGGATGCAGTGTTAAATGAGCAAGGGGGCCATAGAAACTTCTTTTCGAACGACTCCACTCAAAGTTGTTTGGGAGCATATGCACCTATCAACTTTACACGGGACACACAAAAGAAGTACTTTGATTCCATTGGACGGGGGAGGGTGAAGAAGCTAGGACAGAAGGGTAGAGTTCAGGAGAGTAGAATGCGTTTAAGAACGTGGAATATAGGAACCTTAACGGGAAAATCTATGGAAATAGTGGAAGTTATGGTGAGGAGAAGGATAAATATTATGTGCCTACAAGAAACTAAGTGGGTTGGTCTTAAGGCAAAGGATCTAGAAAACTCAGGGTTTAAACTTTGGTACTCGGGCACAAATAGAACGAGAAGCGGTGTTGGCATCATCGTGGACAAGACCTTGACACAAGATGTTGTAGATGTCAAGAGGGTAGGAGATAGAATCATAGCAATCAAGATTGTAATAGGACAAGAACTTATCAATGTGATTAGTGCGTACGCACCTCAAGTAGGGTTGGATATGAGTTCGAAGGAGAAATTTTGGGAAGACCTTGGAGACTTGGTGCAAGGAATTGCTCAAACGGAGAAGTTATTTATAGGAGGAGATTTAAATGGACACGTGGGCAGGGAGCCAGGCAACTATTGAGGTTTTCATGGTGGCCATGGTTTTGGGGAGAGAAACGAGGATGGGGAAGCTATCTTGGATTTTGCAATGGCATATGATCTTTTCTTAGCCAACACCTTCTTTAAGAAGAGAGAAGAACATGTGATCACCTACAAGAGTGGGTCGTCAAAAACACAAATAGATTTTCTTCTAATGAGGAAAGGGGATCGTATAACTTGTAAGGATTGCAAAGTTATACCAGGAAAGAGCGTGGCTAATCAACATCGCTTGTTGGTGATGGATGTACATATCAAAAGAGTGAGAAAAAAGAACAAGACTTGAAAGTGCCCAAGGACTAGATGGTGGAATCTAAAAGAAGAAAAACAAGTCATTTTCAAAGAGAAAGTAATCACCCAGTGTGTGTGGGATAGAGAGGGGGAAGCTAGCCAAATGTGGGATTCCATGGCTAGTTGTATCCGAAAAGTAGCAAAAGAGGTATTAGGAGAGTCCAAGGGCTTTGCCACACACCAAAAGGAATCTTGGTGGTGGAATGAGGAGGTACAAACAAAGGTGAAGGCTAAGAAGGAATGTTGTAAAGCCTTATACAAGGATAGGACCGATGAAAATGGTGAAAGGTATCGAAAAACGAAGCAAGAGGCGAAGAAAGCTGTGAGAGAAGCTAAGTTAGCGGCTTATGACGATATGTATAAGCGACTAGATACCAAAGAAGGAGAGTTGGATATCTATAAACTAGCTAGAGCAAGGGAAAAGAAGACAAGGCACCTAAACCAAGTGAGGTGCATCAAGGATGAGGATGGAAAGGTTCTTGCTACAGAGAACGCGGTTAAAGATAGATGGAGAGGTTATTTTCATAATCTTTTCAATGAAGGACATGAAAGGAGTGCTTCTTTAGAGGAGTTGAGTAACTCAGAAGAGTGTAGAAACTACTCTTTTTATCATCGAATCCGGAAGGAAGAAGTGGTTGTAGCTTTGAAGAAGATGAAGCATAGAAAAGCAGTAGGCCCAGACGATATACCAATCGAAGTGTGGAAAGTTTTGGGAGAGACAGGTATAACATGGCTCACTGACCTTTTTAA